AATAGCGCGCCTAGGTCAGTGACCTTGACATTTTCGGTTATATCCCATTTCATTGAGAACATCGTGACGTATTTAGGGATCTCTGGGAACCTTATATAATTCGGTTGTATCGATCATGCGCGTAATTGTACACGTGTTGTATGTTAGCTTGATAAATTCTTAGTTGCTCGATTAAGTCTCACAATCTGTTTGTGGTCGAGCGAAGCTGACTTGTTGCACTCGTGACTTTTCGACGATGACTCGAAGAATCCTCGGTTATTAACGCAGACTGGCCGTTTCAGTCAGACTCGCCAACTTATTACGGATTCGTTTCGAGCGGCACAGTCCACGCCAGTCTAGCCGTCTAGTAGTTACGAATAGGTTTAGTATGTCTGTTAAAATCAATAATGGATGCAAGTAAAAAGTACGACAATCCTAATCCTAAGCTCTCCGCGAATCCCATTAGCAGATTGATATTTTGGTGAGTGACGAACGTGGCCCCCGGCATTGCGGAACTGGTTTGTGACTTTGAACGTTTTACATTGTTCTCTTTTTTTCAAGGTGGCTGAGACCACTATTTCTGTATGGAAAAGATCATGATCTTGAAGTTAAAGATATATACAATGTGCTGCCCGAGGATGTCAGTCAGAAACTGGGAGATAAACTTGAAAGGTGAGTAAACATTAAACGATGAACATAAGTCTAACGTCAATGAGCTTATCCAAACAAAGATTGTATGATAATGCGTGTTTATTTGTGTGTTTAGGCATTGGTTGAAAGAAGTTCAAACAGCCGAAGGAACTGGTAGAAAACCGAAATTCTTTAATGCTCTGAAAAAGACATTTGCATGGTCGTTCTGTTATTATGGAGGATGGCAATTCTTTTTAGCTGTCTTTGTAAGGTAATCGTTTCTCATTGTTTTATTATTACATTGGAACACTGTAAGTTTGATTTAGATGTAACATTGTTGTAATCTTGCAGGGTTTTGCTACCATACGTATTAGGTTTGCTTATTTGGCATTTTGATCCCAGATCAACATCCACTGCCTCAGAAGCTTATAGCTATGCTACAGCTGTCGTGTTCTTATCCTTAGTTGGTGCTTTAGTTACTCATCATTCGAACTTAGGTTTATTGGAAGTTGGTATGAGAGTGAGAATAGCATGTTCTTCAGTGATGTACAGAAAGGTATTATATCACATGTTTATCAAGTTATCACTGTTATTTTAAATACTAAAATTTTATTTAGATACTACGCTTGTCAAAGTCTTCTACCAATGTTACAACCCCAGGTCAGATCGTGAATTTAATGTCAAATGATGTGTCCAGATTCGATCAATTGTTTATAGCTTTGCATTATATTTGGATGTTACCAATTCAGGGTGCTCTGATATCCTACATGATTTGGGAAAGTGTAGGAATTTCTTGTTTAGCTGGTGTATTTCTTATAAGTGTTCAAACCATACCATTACAAGGTATTGTTATTTATTAATTCTCTAACTTCTAAAACGGTAAGAATAATATGAAAATAATTTACATTCTTCTCAGGGTACATGGGAAAATGGATTTCAAAGTTACGATTAAAAATTGCAATCAGAACAGATGAAAGAGTGCGTTTAATGTCAGAAATTATCAATGGAATTCAGGTCATTAAAATGTATACTTGGGAAAAGCCATTTGAGAAACTTGTTAGCGTCGTTAGAAGGTATGTTTCTTTCTTTAAATTATAGAAATTACAAACATTGCATGCTATTTCATATCTGTATACTTTCTGACTATATGATCTTTTTTAGTTATGAAGTAGATGTACTTACTATTTCATCGTACTTAAGAGGTTTTACTTTAGCTACTTTTGTGTTCACCGAGCGAACAACGTTATTTTTTACAATTATGACATTTGTTCTTCTTGGAAATAATATATCGGCCGATAAAGTATTTTCAATGGCCCAGTACTTTAACATTCTGCAGCTGACTATGGCTATATTATATCCAATGGCCGTTTCAGCTGCTGCAGAAGCTAGTGTATCTATTAAGAGATTGGAGGTAAACTAATCCTCACATAATTTTATTTTATCCCTTCTTCAGTTCCTAATTAATTTTGAGGTATAATTATTATTGTGTTTTCAGAATTTCTTACTATTAAAAGAAAATAAAATAATCAACTCAAAGCCAGTTGCCGGAGATGGTAGTATTACAATTAAAAGTCTTACAGCATCTTGGTCAGAGAATGCAATTACAAGTACATTACACAATATTAGTATTCAAATGAAACCTGGAAAACTGTATGCTATTGTCGGTCCGGTTGGCGCAGGAAAGGTACTGAGAGAAAAAGATAATATTTTATAAAATCGCTTTATAGCATTACGTTTATGTCCCTCGAACGACTTCTTTCAGAGTTCATTTTTGCAATTAATTTTAAAAGAATTACAACAGTCGGATGGAGAAATTCTAGTGAATGGTAAAGTATCATATGCCAGTCAGGAATCATGGTTGTTCTCTGGTACGGTGCGCAATAATATACTTTTTGGAGAACATTACGATAAAAAAAAATATGACGAAGTCACCAGAGTGTGCGCCCTTACTAAAGATTTCCAACAATTCAATTACGGCGACAAATCGTTGGTTGGAGATAGAGGAGCGTCTCTTAGCGGTGGGCAACGTGCAAGAATTAATTTGGCTAGGTAGATTAGAGCTGGCGAAAGAAATTGTTTTACATTAATATGACTGATTTGAAACTTACGTTGGTATTTGTTATAATAGGGCTGTATACAGAGACACCGACATTTATTTGCTAGATGATCCGTTGTCCGCAGTGGATACACACGTCGGGAAACATTTATTTAATGAATGCATTAAAAATTATCTTCATGACAAAACAAGAATTCTCGTGACCCATCAGGTGCAGTTCCTAAAACATTGTGACCACATCATTGTATTGAATAATGTGAGTAGTAATGTTCGGGAAGTCTAAATAAAGTAC